GGTATTTCCCGAAACTCAGCAACGCCACCCCCGCGCCTCTGGAGCCCCAGGGGCCCACAGACAGTTGCGTCAGCTTCCCAGCGGGCTTGACTCGCCGTTATGCAGGCTGGCCGCCCCGGGACACCGGGGGGGGGGAGGAGGGGCCCGCAGCCGGGTTCAGCCACACGAAAGCGACGCGTAAGCGACGTCTGCCCGGTCAGGACAGCAACGACCACGGTAACCCGAGACGGGGAAAGAAACGATGTGGCTTCTCTTCCCCAGGCGGGGGGGGGTAGGCTGTAGGAGATTCTACCTCGGTCAGCGTTGACTTGTTTTCGGCTAGGTCTCTCTCTCTACACCCGCCGCCGCATCTGCCTCTTGGGGCGCAGCGACGTCCCGGCTTCTCCCGGCTCTCGGCTCCCGGCGGTGCCGAGCCGGTCCCGGGACGTACGCGCGGAGCCCCGAGCGTGCTGTGGATGGGAAGGATGGTGGGGGGAGGAACCCGTATGGCTCAGGAGCCCACTGCTCAGACAAAATGCTCCAGCGCCACTCCAAATAAGGGGAAGTATCGCGGCATCCCCGACCGAAGCGTTGGTACAAGCCGTGATTTGTACAGCAGACACAAAGAAATGTCGAAAGGATGAGCTTCCGCGCAGCTCTGAACTCACCTCCACTTTGGTCGTCCGACGCGCTCTGCATCTCTATCAAAGTTTCGTCCTTCGTCTTCCCCGCTAGCCGATTCATCTTGGCCGTTGTCGGGGTCTTTTGGGCACAAGGAGACGGGGGGGCAGCCGAACACCCGCCCGCCGGTTCCGTTACCGACCCCAGCCCCGCAGTCCCGCAGTCCCGCCTGCGGCTCGGTCTCCGTGGATCAGCCCCGGTTCGCACAGCAGCTCTTGACCGCGGCTCCTGTCACATTCCTCTCCGCTGCGTCTGGCGCCGAGCTGCGCTGAACGGGCGAAGATCCTGCTCTTAAAGGGGAGTGGCCGGAGAGCCTCTCAAGCGCTTTCAATCGGCGAAACCGCACTGGTGCTCAAAATAGCTGAGCGTCTTTGAAAAATAAAAGTAGCGTTTTATATCCACGCAGTTGTGCTAGGACAACGTGAATTATCATAACCGAGGCTATCGACCCCTGGTCTCTGATAGCCCCTTGACCTGTCGTGGATTTCACTGTGTATATCACCCGTTTCTGTTAAAGCTCCGGATTAGTTATTGATCACTCGAGCGAGTAAATTATTCGATTAAGGGAAACATGATCCTATTGCAACGAAGGGTCCTCAGATTTATCTGCCATATGATCTCTAAATTATTTATTTCAATAAACCCTTCGATTTGTCACAGTTTAATTGTACCGGGTCCTTTATAAACTGATGATTGAACCCTTAAAACTTGCTGCTGAGGAGGTCCCTACCCCTGCTCTTGGTTAGGCATCCCTATATTGTGATCCATACACACTGAAAGCAAAAACAAATCCCAAATCGTTTTTACAAAGTGATGCTGAAGACCTCCGGTCTCCAGTAGGGGGTGCTCACCCTGTGGTCTGTGTGGGTCCTAATGCCCCCAGTATAGTGACGGGGACACTATACTGTAAACAGGCACCGTCCTTCAGATGAGACATAAAACCGAGGTCCTGACTCTCTGTGGTCATTAACAATCCCAGGGCGTCTCTCTAGAAGAGTAGGGGTGTAACCCCGGTGTCCTGGTCAAATTTCCCCCTGGCCTTTACCAGTCATGGCCTCCTAATAACCCCCATCTCTGAACTGGCTTCATCACTCTGCTCTCCTCCCCACTGAGAGCTGGTGTGTGTGAGAGGACTGGAGCATCATCCAGGTGGGGCTGCACACTGTTGGGGGTGGAGGGGATCCCCATGACCTGTAAAGAGCTCTGAGTGGAGGGTCCAGAAAAACAGTATATAAGTGTAAGCAATTATTATTATTGTTTTGGGAGACTAGAGTTGCCCATCTATTCTTAATCTGTGAAGTATGGAGGTTATTGGTCCAGTTACAACATTAATTGGACTCTTTTATCCATTTTTGTGAGGTTCCTGAGCTGTTAATGATAAGAGGGAACCTGGAAAATCATTGGAATTAAGAATCTCATTGGCAGGAGCACTTTAACAGTAAAACTCCAGACCCGTGTCAGTCTGCAGCACAGCAAGCTGCCTGATCACATTACTGACTTGCATATTCTACATCGCCCTGGGAAACCCAAAGGATTTTGATCTGGTGATACACAAGCATCAGAAGAGTGAAAACAAGTGCACTTTCACAATCTACTCCCAACGCTGGATCTGTCTTAGATTGGGAAGTATAAATATCAAAAAGTGAAGGTGCTCTTGTTTCATCCAACAAACCCCACAGGCCTCCCCCTCATCTGCAACCTGTCTTGAGTTCTTAGGCATCTCTCCATATTTTTCTGTATTTGTATAATAATTAATAATTAAATCCTTAACACTTATATAGCACTTTACTGGGCACTCCACTCAGAGCTCTTTACAGGCCATGGGGATCCCCTCCACCCCCACCAGTGTGCAGCCCCACCTGGATGATGCTCCAGTCCTCTCACACACACCAGCTCTCAGTGGGGAGGAGAGCAGAGTGATGAAGCCAGTTCAGAGAGGGGGGTTATTAGGAGGCCATGACTGGTAAGGGCCAGGGGGGAATTTGGCACCAAGGACACCATTGATGATGAATATTGTTGATTTTTTGCTGGTTCCTATGATCTTGACCTTCCTTTGTTGTATTGTATTAAAATCCTTTATTGAACCCGATGGGCCAGTGGAGGGCCCCAGAGGGCCGAGCCCCTCTCTGCAGTAGGCTGTGTGCCGGAGCAGCCTGAGTGAAATACTTTGCTAAAGGACTCAACCACAGTGTCGCACACAGCCCTGATCACTTCTCCACACCAGGGCGGTGTCTGCTTCAGTACGTCAAGATGTTATTAGTATTTTTTTTGCAACATTGTACTGTTAGTTACTGACATGTTCTCTGATGAGCTGCACAAATTGGGGCTATTTTATGTAACTTCGATTGGATAAAGAACGAGTCCTCATTTAACTGCAATGTGGTACAAAGGGCTGTTCAAGGAACAAAACTGTGATCGCTCACAAATCTGTACCCACAATACACACAGAGAGGAAATTGTTTCTCAAGAATAAACCTTCGGACTTGCCAGCCCAGTTTTTGACTATTTTAAGAAGAACCCTACATTAAGACACAGCCACGGACACGGTCAATGTCAAAATGCATCACTGGGAAGGGAATATTTAGGGCACGTCTTCACACACAGTGCATTCATCTAGTCTGTGTGTTCTAGCTTAACCGGGGAACACCTGTCCCACTTGGCTTTATCTCTATGATGGTGAACATGTTGGTTTTTCGGGGACTTCCTCTGGGGGGTCTTCAGGGGACCC